GACCAACAAGAGTGCACAATGCACTCTTGTCGGTCAAAGTTCCGCATTCAAGTTATGAATGCGGAACAGTATGCCATTCTGGGAGACATGCACAGGCAATGTCTCCCGGAATGAGACACTGCGACCGTCAGGAGTGCATATTATCATCAAAAATTCAAAAAAAAACATTTTTCTTTTTTCTTTGGCGAAAAATGTACTTATTTTTTTGAAATTTTCGAAATATGATTTTTTCGGGAGACTTTTTCAAAATTTTAATATGATAAATATGAGTTATTTTATGTTCTCTATTTGAGAGTCTGCTTATTTTTGAGTATTGAGCAAGATTGAAAAATGAGAATATTTAGGAACATAATAAATCGATTTATCTCGTCATGTAGTTCATATTTTCGCGTTCTGAGAGCGGAAAACGCATTTTTTGAATGCGTAGATTCCGAATCACACGGAAAAAATAGGTTTTAATAAGAAAAATAGACAATTTATGAAGTAACAAAGCACATAGTATTATAAAAAAGAAAAACATTTTTCTCATATGAAAGAAAATATAACGTATTTTTTACAGAGCGTAGGTATATATCGAGCCAATTCACACCATAAATTCTTTTCTCGTTCTCGGGCCTATAAACAACCTGAGGTGCACAACAATATTAACTTATACTGCTGTTATCTGGATTTGAATCCTCAATTGAGAGAATTCCAGATAACTTCAGTATAAACAAACCATATACATGTTTCCTCCTTGCTTCTAGGCCAAGCATAACAAGTACATTACCTTAGAGCAAATCTCATTCGGAGTTTCTCATTTAATGAGAGACTCCGAATGAAATTTGCCTATTTGATTAATTCGTGCTTTATGAGATGCAAATTCTGATGATAAATATTGATCTAGAGCTTATATAAGATGCGAAGAAACTTCAAAAAAAGCTAACCGGTAAAGACAGCAACTTGCAACACCAAGTTGCTCACGTAGTGATTACAAGCATATCTGCAAGGCAAAGTCCTCAGGATGCAGAACTTTGCCTGCAATCAGAAAAGAGATTGCAGCAGAGTAACCGGTAAAGACAGCAACTTGCAACACCAAGTTGCTCACGTAGTGATTACAAGCATATCTGCAAGGCAAAGTCCTCAGGATGCAGAACTCTGCCTGCAATCAGAAAAGAGATTGCAGCAGAGTAACCGGTAAAGACAGCAACTTGCAAAGTCAAGCAGTTTCTGAGATTTTGATTTATAAATCATAAACCTTCATGCTTGATGATTTTGTAGAATTGTTAACTCATGTCATCAGTTAATGCTCACCTAAGGGAGGTGTTTTGCGGGAGCTGGGGGTATCTTGGTGAGTACTCAGGAGGCCAAGAAGGGCACCCCAACCGACATTTTGCTGATGGATTGAGTTCGCAACCATTTTTATAACCGTAAAAACCGTCGGGACAAAACAACTTGAATAATTGAATTTTTTAATGATAATGATTGTGAAATAACATGTAACTATAATTTAAGAATGCCATATTTTTGTTAAAAAAAATTTCGAAAAGTGAGAGATTTTCCGTTCTAATAAATATATTTGATAACCGGGGCGTCCCCGGAATCAAATAAATTATCATATCGAGAATCGGAGATCCTTGCAGTTTCGATTTTTTCGAAAAGTGAGAGATTTTCCGTTCTAATAAATATATTTGATAACCGGGGTGTCCCCCGGAATCAAATAAATTATCATATCGAGAATCGGAGATCCTTGCAGTTTCGATTTTTTCGAAAAGTGAGAGATTTTCCATTTTAATAAATATATTTGATAACCGGGGCGTCCCCCGGAATCAAATAAATTATCATATCGAGAATCAGAGATTCTTGCAGTTTCGATTTTTTCGAAAAGTGAGAGATTTTCCATTTTAATAAATATATTTGATAACCGGGTGTCCCCCGGAATCAAATAAATTATCATATCGAGAATCGGAGATCCTTGCAGTTTCGATTTTTTCGAAAAGTGAGAGATTTTCCGTTTTAATAAATATATTTGATAACCGGGGTGCCCCGGAATCAAATAAATTATCATATCGAGAATCGGAGATCCTTGCAGTTTCGATTTTTTCGAAAAGTGAGAGATTTTCCGTTCTAATAAATATATTTGATAACCGGGGCGTCCCCCGGAATCAAATAAATTATCATATCGAGAATCGGAGATCTTGCAGTTTCGATTTTTTCGAAAAGTGAGAGATTTTCCATTTTAATAAATATATTTGATAACCGGGTGTCCCCCGGAATCAAATAAATTAGCATTACTAACATTCCTTTTTTATTTAAAATTTTCAATTCTTAAAACAAAGTTTTACTTCTATTTAATTATTTGCCATGAAAGTATAGAACATTAAAAATTTATCCTACTACCTCCACCCTTATAATACCTTCAAAAAAATTATATCTCAATTTATTTTCTATCTTTATATTGATGTGCTTATTCAAAAACACTAAATCATAAGTCTTCAGTTCTCAAAATACTCTCAAATTATCTCATTGCGCATATTTTGAAATTTGATAATTTTAAATTGTTAAAAAATTCATTAATCACAGTAAAATATCTATATACAACAATTAACTAACCGATTTCACATCTTGAACATTCGCATTTATTTAATATATTTGAATATCATTTACATCTTATTGAATTAGATCATAAATCACAGTTCCTTAATATACTATCTAGCTAATCATTATTGTTGCACAACTTACATTTGATTAAACACACGTGTATAATTCTGTACAACTCATATCTCTATCAATACTTTATTTATAATCAAAACAAAGGTTAAAATTGTATACCCTGTCACTGTAGAGTATTCTCCCAACTTTAAAGTAAAAAAAAAAAAAAAAAAAAAGGAGTGGGGCTTCCAGGCGCGTTGCGCCCTCTAGCCCCGAAGATGTTGAGTATAAATGAAGTTTTTATTTGGAGGGCTTCCAGGCACTTCGTGCCCTCTAGCCCCGAAGATGTTTAGTATAAATGAAGTTCTTATATACGGGTCTTCCAGGAGCTTTTCACAAATTATATATGTTTTTCATGTTTTGTCACTTTTCTGTCACTTTTCAGGAAAAAACATTTTTATTATATATATATAAAATGAATTTTACAAAACCACCACTACCCTTCTTTGGAAATAAGAGTAGATGTAAAGATATTATATTGAGAGAACTTAAGAAACTACCGAATGGTCTAACATTTGTAGATTTGTTCGGTGGAAGTTTCTATATATCTCATCTGTGCCATACCGTATTCCCAAACTCAAAGATTATATGCAATGACTTCGACAACTATATGAACCGTCTCAACATATACAAACAAAATATTGAGTGAGTTGAAAGAAAAGATACCTATAGTAAAGAACGGAACGTTTTAGATAAGAAAAATACTGTCAGAGAGGTTTTGAAAAAAGCAGAATATATTGACTGGGATAGTATATCTGCTAGACTATTATATAGTGGTTCTATAAGAGTTCATGACATTGAAACACTTATGTCAAAAGTTTTATATCTTAACTATACAAATGTTTTCAAAGAGAACATAGAAAAATATACTGAGGGTATAGAGTTTGTGAGATGTCATTGGACAGAGTTGTATGAAAAATACAAAGACAAGGAAAATGTTTTCTTTATAGTGGACCCGCCGTTCTATAACACATGGGATTTTCAATACCAAGTAGACTGGACTTTGAGAGACTCTTTAGAAACTTTAGACGTTTTACATAATCATCCATGCTTCTACTTTACATCCGATAAAAGTGGTTTGGAAACCGTTATGAGATGGTTAGGGGACATACATGACTATGAGTTTAGATACGATAAGATAGAATATGAGAGAGGTCCTATAAACCGGAGAAAGTGTCACAACAAAGAAATTTTATTGGTAAGTAAATGTGGTTTGAAATAGGACTACTTGTTTTAGGTTTTTTCCATTGTGTCATTTACTTATTTGACGTGGCAGAAAGATATAGAGAATATGAAGATGAACCAATACCAGCAAATGTTCAGCATATGTACTCGTAAGAGATATTTTTATCTAATATTAAATGGACGCACAGAACTTAGCGAATGCACAGCAACCTGGACAACCAAACCCAGAGAATATTCCAAATGAAGTTAGAATACAAACTGCAATGGCAAACTATGGTCAAGTGCCAACAGATGTACAAATGCAAACTGCCATGTCAAATGACGCTGCGTTAGGTTTGCCACCATGGTATGCAAATATGAGATGGAAAGAGTTTTATACAAACCCTGAAGTGGGATATAAACAACTCTATGCAGATGACGCGAACACAGGAGTTGACCCAGAATATGTTTTCTACCAGAGGAGAAATAGAATGTATGAGCTCCAGTTAAAGAATGCTATGGAACTCAGAAGGAAACGTAAGAGACTAGGCGGACATTAGATTTTTACATATAGTAAAATGGGTTTCTTTGGAAGAATAGGAAACTTCTTTCGAAATGTTGGAAGAGGTATATGGAATGGAATAAAATCTGTCGGAAGAGGAATTTGGAACGGAGTCAAAAATATTGGTAAAAGAGTAGGTCAGTTTGTTGGTATTATACCTAAAGACCCTGAACCAGAAGAACAAGCTCCTGTTATACAACAGCCTGAACCTGCACCACAGTCTAGTTGGCAACCAAATCCAACACCTCAACCGTATTAAAAAATCATATTTTTACCGTTCGATAGTAGTTGTATATGAAACTAAGTTCTAAGTAAAACGCATGGTATAATGGAATTATTCTTTTCTTCCATCTGTAGTAAACCATACTTGAAAGTCTGAAATACTTCCACTCGGCGTTCATATAACTTTGTAGGTTTTTCGTAAAAGTCATTCATCAGACATAAGAAAGAGTTTTTGCACCAGAAAATGAAGCATGAACTATAATAGCATCTGGGTCGAAAACATTTTCATATGTTCCATTAGGGTTTTCGACTTCATAAAAGTCCGGGTGTACTGGATATTCTGCAGGCTGATTTAACATCCTCAAAACCTATACCATGCCAAGTTGTTATATTTTGTAGAAATATAAACGTTTTCTCCAAGGTCTTCTATTCTATTGATTTTAACAGTTGCATTTTTCCTGTCATATATAATATCGAGATGGTACTCTCCTTCGTCAATGTTAAACTGGTTTGCATATTCGAGATAGATATCGTTTATTTTTTCTTGAAAAGCTTGAAGAGTTGTTTCTAAGTTTACAAGCAAATTCACTTGTAAAAGTTTTCCCTGTTCAAATTTCTCATACGTACGTTTTTCTTTGTTATAGTATTTAACTTCAAAACCGACCGTAAATGGGAAACCATGTATGGCTTCTGAAATGAACTTCATTCTACGAAAGCCAATAGCTTTTGTGACAGATGGGTCTCTTAACCATCTTAATGGGTAGTCAAAACGATAGCCTTCATGCTTTACGGTCTCTGTCTCAAACTTTTGACCGACATTAGTAAAAAGTTCATCTAATGGTTTAGTTGTAGCAACTCTTGAATTTTCTTTTTCTATTGAAAGCATATTTTATCTAGAATAAAAATGTCGAAAGAAACAGCGTCTATGAGAGAAATACAACACAACCGACAACTCATTATACAAGCTCTAAATAAGAACACAACAAACTTTTCAAACTATTCTAAGATATCTGAGTCATTGAAAGAAGGAAACTTAAAACTGACATTAAACCCATTGACAGATGAGTTTCTGTTTCAAGACAAGAAGAACAATACTGTCTGTGTAAATCCAACAAAAGGAACTTTAAACGAGAAACCTATAAAAGAACTTCTTTTGAAAGCAGATGTTGACAACAAAGCTGACAAAGAGTATGTCATTGAAAAAGTTCAAGAAGAACATGACAGAGCAGATGCAACATATGCAACAAAAGCAGATGTTGACAACAAAGCTGACAAAGAGTATGTTGACAATAAAATGTCAAGTGAAGTGACAAGAGCTGAAAACGAATATTCTAAAAAGACTCATACACATACCATTGCAAATATTACAAACTTACAAGAAACCTTAAACAGGAAAAGTGACGTTGGACATACACATTCTATATCTGAAATAACAGACTTAAACGTTAGCCTTGAAAAGAAAGCTGACAAAGAAACTGTAGATATGTTGGCACAAACGGTTTCAAGTCATACCAGAGGTTTAATGGAAGATGGACAACAGTTGAAAGAGCTTGAGAAAGGTGTTACAGAGTTAAGGAATACAAAAGCAGACTCGACATGGATAAAAGGATATGTAGATGCAACAAAAGAACGTATTTTCGCATGGACAGAAGGAACATACCCACAAAAATATCATAGACATAGCATCTCTGACGTAAATGAACTTGAAGAAAAGTTATATAAAAAAGCAGACAAAACAGAGCTTCAAACATTAAAGACAGAAATACTTCAAACAGTATATCCTATAGGTTCTATTTATACGTCAATGAACTCTACCAGACCAGAAGTAGTACTTGGTTTTGGAACTTGGACTCAAATAGTCGACAGGTTTTTGTATTGTGCAAACTCTTCAAAGGAAACAGGTGGAAGTAAAACGATTTCAGGTGCAAATTTACCTGCACACAGTCACTACATAAATTTAAGTACATCTGAAGCAGGTTTGCATAGGCATAAATATTGGGGTTGGTCAACAATGACAAAAGGTAAAGGATATGATGTTAAAGAGGACGTTCAGTTTGCTATAAATGGTTCCTGGGATGACACTTGGAGAGAAGGAGACCATACACATCGCGTTTCAGGGTATACGCAAACAACGGACAAAGTAAAGACTACATGCCACCTTACATGACAGTTTACGCATGGTATAGAAATGCTTAGTCGTCATTTTCAACTTCTTTAGCATATTCGTCAGGAGTTGTCTTATATTTGTTAGGAACTGTCTTTGAAAGTATACCACCTTGAACTTTGACAAGTTTGAAACGAGGTCTGACAATAGTAGTTTTATCTTCTGCTTGCAGTCTGTACATTTTGCCATGTTTGCCTAAAACTTCATAATATTCTCTTGTATACTTTCTTCTATTTTTACGAACACGAATGTGAGTACCTGTCGGGTTCCCATTGTTGTCATAGTCAATAGTATTTTCATATGGGTCGCGTTTAGGTATTTCTATTTTTACTTTGTCACCTTTCTGAAGTTTGAAGCCCGGCATTCTTTCTTGTTTGTCTCTTTTGACTAAATTGTTAAATATAAAGTCTTTCTCTAAGTCAGGGTTGTTTTTCATTTCTTCAGGGGAGTGGTTTCCCAAACCTTTTTGTTTACGGTTATTGTAAATATTTAAAACTTGTCTCATCTTTGCCATGGAGAAGTGCCTATACTTGTCGTCATATGACATTTCATCTACCTCACCACCTTGTGGTTGGTTTAAGTCTCTTAAGATTTTTATACAACTGTCAATGACACCAAGAGCAGAATGGTTTTGGTCGACAATGAAATATTGGTTTACATTTTTTGAACGCAGATAGTTTTTAATATCGTCTGATTTGAAAGAACTTTCACAGTCAGATGTCAGTTTTGTTGGATGGTATTTGTCAACGAATATTGTCAAAGCAGTTTTCACATCTAAAATATTTTTGGACCATAATGGTATGGCTTCACAGTATCTTGTGTTTTGACCAACAAATATTAGCCAGTATGGTGGTCCATCTGTTCTAACTCTCGGAATGTTTTCCAAGATATCCATAAACCAAGCATTTGGTGTTGAACTAAAGATTTTTATCATGAGTGCTTTCTTTGTCGCTTTAGAAACATACGGGTCCTTGTTTGAATTCGTCATTTTTAACCCATAAGAAATGGGTTTATTTGGTGCATTAGCAGGAGTTGCATCTAGATTTTTGCCAGCAGTGGGAACAATAGCCAGAGGTGCATTTGGAATTGGAAGGAAGATTTTGAGTACATTAGGTATACTGAAAGAGAAAGCACAACCTATTATACAAACTGTACAGAAAGGTTGGGAGGTAGCACGAGATGCAGCAAATCTTATTCCAAATCCTGAAACAAGAGGAAAAGTTCAAGGATGGATGGACAATGTAGGAAGACAAGCAGGAAACTACTATAACAAAGCAAATGACTACTATAACCAAGCAGGACACTATATGGACCAAGGTGAAAGATTCTTTAACAGAGGATATAACCATGCACAACAGTGGGTAAACAACAACCAACCTCAACCGTCTCAAACGTGGGGAATGTAAAATTTTTTACTGAGATGAAATGAACAATACAGCATTGAGACAAATGGGCTCAAGATGGATTTGTCGACTTCCAGTAGTTAAACCACCACGTGTTTGTCAAGTCCTCCCTATACCTCAAGAAGTTTTAGACCGACATAAAAAACCTCAACAACCAGTTGAAAACAAACCAAACTAAAATTTTTTACTGAGATGAAATGACCGAAGAAGTTGAAACGGTAGATTTGACACCACAAACAAAAAGTTCAGAACCATTGTCAAAACCTGTCAAAGAACTTACAGATGAAGAGAAAAATTCAATAATAGAAGGTGTGAGGTCTGGAAATACAAACCCTAACTACAAAGTCACTTTTCATAAAAATGGAACGGCTAGTATCTCAAAAAAGAAACAGACTCTCACAAATAAAATATTAAAGTCTGAAGGAGTTTTCGAGACAACAGATGGAAAAGTTTACTTCACTGACCAACAGTTCATTATAGAACATCTCATTGACTTAGAGTCAAAATATTCTAAACTTTACAACAAACACAAAAAGTTGAAAGGAAAACAAAAACAAATGGCATATGATATTTACGAAGATGTTGACGACACAACCATACCTGCAAGTGAGGTAAAGTCAAAGGAACCGAAAAGTGACGAAAAACAGATAGAAGAAGGTGAGCCAAAAACTGAAGATAAACCAAAACCAAAGGTTAGTTTTAATACTAAACCAAGTCAACCTTCATTAGCTGGTATGGGTTGGCGTCAAAGGCTTATGATAGCAGGTGGTTATGTAAAGTAAAGGAAAAACATTTTTTTTATTTTTATAAAAATGCCTCCATATAGAATGGACAGAAGGTCTGCTAGAATAAAAGCAGAGTTGCAAAGATATGGTTGGAAAGTTTCAAAGAAGTTTAAATATAGGAAGGGAAAGCCAATAAAAGTCTATGACAAACTGGCTGGTCTGACCTACGAAATGGACTTGGAAACAGCGCGCGCCAATTATCCAAACAGACTCGAGAGGTTAGAAGAAGAACGTCTTATGGACATGCCTTTTGATGTTAGTGAGCCTCAAGTTCAAGGACACGACGGCTTTGCCAGATTCTACTGGAAACATGACGAACAATTGCATCCTTTGAGACGGAAAAAAGGGAAGGGTGAAGACACACATGCTCCCATGGAAAGAACAAGATATGCATATGAAAAGTATCGTGAAGTTAGAAGTAAGATTGGTTCAGGTCGAACCTTTACAGTAAACTTTGACGATGGAAAGAACAAAGAAGGCTTCATGGGTGTACTTGCTGCCATACAAGACGGAAATAAGAAAGGATACAATCTCAGATTGACTATAACAGATTTGGATGGTCACATATACTATGCACATGGCAATGAACAAACAGCCGCACAACTTCTTGACGCTTTCAAAACTTCAAAGAGAGAACAAATGTTTGACTCCGACTCAGACATCTTGAATGCAATTGAAGGAATTGCAAGTGTAAAGTTCGAATGGTACCAACCCAACCCTCAAGCAGTCAGACAACATGCTGGGTATTTCCCCTTCAGAAATAAGTCTGACATTGACTTAACCAGGTATGGAATTTACAATTCAATTGAAAAAATTGTCAATGAACCTTGTATTCTTACATGTCTCAGGAACTCTGGTCTTGTTTCAGAAGAGAAGATGAAGTATCTTGAGTCATGTGTTAAGACAAGGTATATACTCAGAGGTCAATTGTCAAAAGTTGCACCGTTGGCAAATGTGAATATCCGAGTCAACATTCCGACTGAGAAAGGTTCTTCACATGACGACTATGTTGTTGACAAAGACTTACCATGGTTGAATATTGTACTTGTCCACAACCACTTCATGTTGAACGAAAGTCTTACAAACCCATTGTTCGGAAAAGGTAAGTGCAGCATTGTCAGGGCTGTTAACATTCTTTTCGAGAAAGGTTTGTTGGAACCAATTCCAGATGACAAGCTGACAGAAACTTTTGTACCAAAAGATGAAACAAACTTTTCATTGTTAGCAAGACCAAAAGTTGTTCCGGACAAAGTTATAGCACAAGAGAAGTACACGGTTCCAAAAGGAGTTGGATTGTTCGGATACCAACCTGAACCAGAAGAACTTCCAATGAGGTTGCAAGAACTTCAAGATGCTATAAACAAACTTTCATTGAGACATCCGATCGATGTCAAATTGTATTGGAGAGCATCAGAGTTAGGTCAGAAGGTTTTATATGAAACAGGCTGCTTTGACGATGTTTATGAGATAACAGGAGAAGTTTCTCAGAAGATAAGAGATTCACTTGAATTTCCACGAACCGGACCCATAGGTTGCGACAAGTTTGACTCATATGAAAAAATATACTATGTCGACCTTAACGCTGCGTACATGAGGTTCGTCCAATATATTCCAACTGGAATTCCAAACGAAGATGGCGAGTTCCCGGGAAGGAACTATACAGTTGGAAAAGTCATGCAACAACTCTATGATATTAGGAAGGCTTCAAACCCAAAACTTGCAATGACACTCAAATTGCTGATGAATTCAACATGGGGATATTCCATTAAGAAACCTCAAGCGATGAAGAGTAAACACTATGAGAAGGTCGACAACTTTGTTGAAAGGTTTTCTCCTTTTGTTTTGAAGTACGAATTTACTCAAGGTCAAAGTGGCTTAGTAACCACATTAAAACCTATTGTCGAACATTGGTCTTATCCTCAGTTCGCAAAAGCAGTCCTTGACAACTACAACAAATTCTTCTCCGAGGTTAAATCCAAAGTGAAGGTATACTACGAGAACATCGATGCACTCATGACGAACGAAGAAGGATACAACAAACTCATTGAAATGGGAATGGTCGGTGAAAAAATGGGCCTTTTTAAGCTAGATAAGGTATTTTCCGAAGTTCATGTAATATCCAAACGTAAGTACTGGGCCATACTTGAAGACGGGACAGAAATAAAACATTGCATGAAATAAAACATTGCATGACACATGACATTGCATGAAATAAAACATTTTTTCAAAAAAATATTTTTTTATTTTATTTGAAATGTACGCTGAGTTTGTTGGAGAGGACCGTTGGGAAACTTGTTTGTTAGATGAGAAATATGAAATTCACTGTTGTGAGTCATTTGAAGTCAGAAACAAAAAGACAAAAAGAGTTTTAAGCGGATGGGAGCGAAATGACGGATATGCTCTTATGGATATGAGTGGAAAAAACTATTTTAAACATATTGTCATTGCAACTCATTTTATACCGAATCCTAACAATCTACCTTTTGTAGACCACATAAACCATATAAGAAACGACAATAGACTTGAAAACTTACGCTGGGTCACTTGTTCTGAAAACAATAAGAACAAAGGCAAATTTGGAGATATAGTATTCGAATTTGTCGACGAACTAGAAGATGAAGCAATTGAAATTACAGACTATGGCGAGCATACGTTTGAGTTTTACTACTATAGCGAAGAACAGGACTCTTTCTACCTTTATACCGGCGTAAACTATAGGAAATTACAAGTATGTTTTACTAAGGCGGGCTATGCTTATGTAAACGCTAGAGATACAGATGGAAAATACGTTAGACTATATCTTAACAAATTCAAG